AAAAAAAAAAAAAAAAAAAAAAAAAAAAAAAAAAAAAAAAATTACAGTACTAAGTATCTGCCCAGCAAAGCAACTATGTATGGACTGAATTTAACAGAAAAGCACCCAGTCACAAAAGTTGAACCGAGATAACCAGGTGAAAAAGTTTTAAACTTTCTCAAGACTCAATGTTACAGAAAACGTTTAACGACTATTTTCACGCTCAAAACATTTTTTTGCAGCTTTGAATTTTGAATAAGAGAAAATGTACAACTGGTTGAATTCGAAACTACTCCCAACTCATTTTTTCCAAAATGCGGTCGGGTGCGATTCTGTGAAACCCGATCCAATTTGATCAAATAACAGTTAAGGAAAAACTGTTTGCTTATGTGTGATATTTATAGAGGGAAATCTTTGAAGTCATATTAAAATTTAAAGGTAATAATAGGACAATTTTGCCTCAAAAATTATCATCTATTATCATTGATTTCGGTACCCGCTGGACCAATAATCAGTCTAATTGTATCATGACAATGAATTTTTCATTTTCAATAAGTTGAGTCTTAAGTTGGTCACATCCATCGAGAAACTAATACACAGTGAAATTAATTCAGAGAGAGTAATTTGAGTGATTGGTCTCATAAAATTATAAGACTGAGGAGCCTGAGACCGAAATCGATAACAATAAAAACCTCCCTTCAATAGCTGCGCTTATACTTTTCCATTGCACTAAACTGGATGAAAAAAATTTCAAACTTGGTAGGTACATGGGATTTGTCCCATTTCTTAAAATGACCATCTAAAAAAATTGCTGGTTGAGAAATATTAGGTTGTATATTAGATATTCATAAACAGACTGGAATTGCAAGAGACAAATGTGAGTATATTTAATGATAATAATACAATGTAAGATGTGATAAATAAATTTGAAAGTGTTAAGGTGAATTAGAAATTGGAACAATTTAGCTGGGTAAAATCTTACTTGAATCTGTCAGATTTCGAACAAATGGTGGAGAAAGTTAATAATGAGATACATTGAGATTCAATTTTTCATGGAAGGAGGTGGATTTACTTCAGTAATTATGAGTCTTTTGAATTTAATAATTTAGAAGGGAAAGGATGAACAGAGTAATATTCAAGAAATGTATAGAATATAAAATTGTAGAAAAACATGGAACGAGTATTCTTGCTTTGACATATGGTCGCTAAAGAATATTCAAGAGCCTACACCTACATATAACTTATAAAAAATTAACAGAAATATAAAAAACTAAACAAGAAAAAAGAAAAAAATCCTGAAATTAATAAACTTCAGTCAAATAAGTACCTGTACTTAATCATGTGCATGATACAAAAAAATAGAATTAAAAGGTTTCAGTAGCCTTAGTAGTGCTTGATGGGAAAAAAGAAAAATGCATTTTTTTGAGAATCTAGTCTGGGATCCAAAGAAAATCAGAGTTATTCAAAAACTCGGTCAAAAAATTCAAGTGAAGTGAGTAGGTGTTTTATATTTAAGAACAAATTTACTAAACAGAGAGTGAAAATTCGACAAGTATTTAGTTAGGTGTCAAAAGCGTTCATGGCGAGGACATTTTATAGAACTATTTCTATGATGGGTAACTACCTAATTAAGATAGAAAATGAGTAGAACCTTGGAGCGTAATGCCGTATGGGTACTATATGAACTTATTTTTGGCATAAAATTTTCCTATATGCCTAAAATTTACAAGGATACTTAGTTAACTAGGAAGGAACAATTAATAAGGATGCATGTATACTATAGAATAGGTACTTTAGTCATGAACAATTGAGTCATATTATGATGGTTCTTGTGATAATTTTGAGGACAAATGACGGAGACCGAATGAAAGTATCTTAAGACGAGCATTTACCATTTACCAGCATTGCTAGCGATCCACATCTTTTGACCAACGCAGATATTCTTGGGGACGACAGCACCAGTTTTCATGGCTCGATTATAAACTCCTTGGATGGTCCTCGCGTTGGGCACTTTCTTTCCAGGAAATCGTTCTTTCCACAATAAAACGGCTTTGGTGGCATTCTTCTTCGTCTCCCCGTAGAAAAGAAGCATGTGAACGTAATCCTCTACACCATACACATAATCAGAAGGCATTTTGAACGAATGTTCGGACGGAAACGAAGAAAAAACAAGAAACTCTATGTGGAGTAATAAAAACAGTATTGCACTGACGTCGATCGACGTTTACTGAAAGCAACAAGCTCACGTGAGTGCGGATGGAGGTATAGGTAAGTCTGATGAAAAGTTTCAGTGGGACTCAGGGACAGGCACGGCACTGATGATACTGAAATCAGAACTCGGATTGATTTTATGAAGATATCATCAAAAGCGAGAGATACGACTGACAGTGATGCTGCATGGCCGAGAGCTACTAGCACCAAACCGACGACCCGATATGCACTGATAACAAACACAGCACCTATGATCTCCGTGTTTCTAGGGGATAAGAGGTGAATAGCCAGCTAACTTCCCTGAATCATGAGGTTGCTATGTTTCCTTCAAAATTCGTTTAATATAGTTTAAAAAACTGGCGGATTTAGCCAAAACAGCAAAGTCTTATTAATACAAAAACGAATTTCATAGGACAGCAGTAAGAGCGCAAAAATTGACGTAATTTACGAAAAAACAGCAGTAAAAGTACATTAATCCAAGAGAAGGGTGCTGTCTTGGGGAAAATATCCTTTTCTGCCAATTTCTTAGCTTAAAATGTATAAAGAGCCTATCCAAGCGCGATTTTCTCGAAATTCAAAGCTCTATGAAGAAAAAAAATGGTTATAGTCATTTTCCGCAAACATTTTAACCTCGATACAAAGGTGCCCTGGAAGTTAGCACCTTCGTTGGTGCACAGAAAAAAAAGAAAAAAAATAGTACTTCATCCTGTAAATCCAAAGACCTTCCTGGAATACCCTTTCAACTTGAGTTTCCGATAATTTTAAGACCATTGTTGAGCATTGTTGGGATGGATCATTATTATCAAGAGTTATGGTCCACAACCGTTGCCAAAATTTGTGAAAAATTATGATTTCCCCAAAAATTTGGATTACTGTGGCGGTAGATCCACGCAACTGAAGTTACGTTTGAAAAAAAAAAAAATAAACTTTATACAAGAAAAAAAGGTGCGATTTGAGCAATAAATCACTCCACTGCCGTATGGCATACTGTGTAAACTTTCTTAAAATAGCTTAAAATTTCTTCCATACCCCCTGTAATGTCGCTCTACATGTTACAAACAGACGTTGAACGGTTGGGTTTCGCTCAATTAATGAACTGCTGTGCATGGTGCATTTTTTATGGTTGCATTTAATTTCCGGTATTCTCGTCTAAATGAGGCGATTGCGGATGAGAAACCTCATTAATGATTTGAACTATGATCATTGAACTTCATGACACTGAAAACACTGTGAACTCAATGACAAGCCTCCCTTTGGAAAACTCCTTTTTGAAGCAGACGGATAAATAACCCCATACAGTACTTCCTCAATGATTATAGCGTTTTTAAACAGCTTAAAACAAAGAGAAAATAAGGACAAAGAGAAAATAAGAGCAAAGAGAAGCTATTTATTCTTATTCATAGAAGTTTTCTGCCCTATCCTCATACATCATTATCACGAATATGAAAATGTATGAATATAAAACATATTAAAACTGAGGAACCGTAGCTTGTTGTCTACAAGTTATCGGGATAGGGCAAATAAAATAAAATAAAATATAATACAAAAAACACTACATTAAAATTATAAACGAAGAGAGGAAGAGAAAATAATTTTTTAATTTTCTTTGTCCGACCTTTGCCTCCTCTCTATCTTTATTTCATGCACTTAGCATCACTTATGAAGCATGTAATCCCATTATTTAGTTCTTTCCTCTTATATTTTATTTCCTTTGCCCTCCTAGCTCTTAGCTGAAAGGCATCGCTTTTCTGTGTCGGCAGGTTAATTTTGAAGAAAAAAAACATGTTTAAACTAGCAGAATTTGTCGCAACTCTTGTGTTCTCCTTAATTAATCACTTTCAGAGTTGTCTCAGCGAACGCCGATTTGCTCACCCGATGTGAAGAAAACACAACGCCTGGG